TTATTTATTTCCGGGCTCGGAGCGCTTATAATGGAGCCGCTGTCAGCAGAGCCCTCTGCCTCCGCCGCCGCCGCCGCCGCCGCCGCCGCCGCCGTCCCTCCTCTTTTTTTTCCCGGCAGATCTTTGTTGTGTGGGAGGGCGGCAGGGATGGACTTGAGCTCGCGGATCTCCTGCTAGAGCCGCCGCGCTTGCACCAAATTCACCCCCTGGCCTCCTTCCCCACCTACGGCTTTCACGCACTCGCAGTGATTGTTTTGCCCGCTGCCGCCGCCGCCACCGCCGCGACGAGGCCCCGCCGGAGCCGGCCTCCGCCCGCCCGCGCCCGCCCGCGCCCCCGCTCGGTCCGCTCTCCCCGCGCCTACCGGCAGAGTCCCCTCGCGGCGGCAGATGTGTGTGGGGTCAGCCCACGACGGGGACTATGGTGAAATTCCCGGCGCTCACGCACTACTGGCCCCTGATCCGGTTCCTGGTGCCACTGGGCATCACCAACATAGCCATAGACTTCGGGGAGCAGGTAAGCCCCGGCCGCGCCCCGCGCCCCGCTCGCTCGGCCTCGGCCCCGGCCCGAGCCGCCCCATCGCCAGGGGATGGGGGCGGAAGGCAGCCAGTCACCTGCTCCCAGCTCCTTTTTCTCCTGGAACATTTGGTGGGGTTTGCAGCTTGTCGAGGATGACTTTTCCAGCACTCCGTTCCCTTCTCCCCTCCAGTTATTCAGCAGAGTTTTCCAGCTCTCTCTCTGGAAAATGTTAAAAGACCAGAGGGTTGCGAGCTTCGCCTATAGAAGGGTTTTTAGTGCACAGCAGGAGTATTATGTAATTTGTGATTATGTAAACCTCAGGTCTGTAAGTCAAATATAAATGCAGTTTCTAAGTTCAAGTGCTGGGTTTTTAGTTATCGGTGTTGGTGGTGATGGTGATGATGGGGAAATTTTGTGTTAGAATATGTCCAAGTTGATTTCCAAGGTACTTCTCTTTTTTTTTTTTTCAGCGCAGGTATAGATTCGGGGGGGTGTCCCCAATGTGTCCTGATAAGCGACCATTGACCATCTCTAGTTGGGGTTTTTGTGGTGGTGTTTTTTTTCTTGGACCACTAAAAGGGGGAGTACGTTTTTGTTTGTTGCCTTCTCGTCCGTTTCTTTTTCATGTTTTGCCCATTTGCCTCCATGTGGCGTCATTGCAAATCTGGCGCTGCAGACTCTCCAGCAGCCGGGCATTGGTGCTCTGCACTCAGCCTGTGGGGACCGTTTTCGCAGGGCCCCCAGCAGGATGCAGTTGCATTTTAAGGCCAAGAAGAAGAGGGGGTGGGTGGACGGAGCATGCCACCTTGAGCGCAGGTGTTGGACTTGCCAGGGCGGGTGATGAGCAACACTCCAGTGCTGCAGCACCGGAATTCTTTTCCTTTAAGTCAGGAGACTTCAAAGGATGTTTCTATGTTTAAAAATGCGCCCATTTTGATGCATTACTAGTTTAAAAAACAGTTTTTCATAAGGGGAGTGCTGCTTGATGCCTCCATTTGGTGAATATCTGCTTGGATTTCTCTCTCTGTGCTCAGAACTTCTGATTGATGGCAACTCTATAAGCTCCCTGATACTTAGCCCACATTGTAAGCTACTTTTTACTTCGAATTTTATTGCAGATAAGAGTCCACGGTGTAGCACAGTCTCTAGAGACCTTTGGTTAGAAGCCACCTAATTTCCTTTGATTAACTAGTATATCTTTTCTGTTGCCACTGTGCCCTGCCAGTACCTCAGTAGGGTCCCCAAGGACTTCTCTTGGGCTCCAACTCCTTCCTGCCCACCTTCCCATCTTGCATAATTAACTGGTGACTTTGGGCATTTCCGATAATCTGTGGAAAGGTTTTTTTAGACCTGAATTCACTACACTGCACATTTTAGTTGAGTCAAGTGCTGTGTGTTCACCTGAACCTTTTACTATTTTAAGGATTATTTTCTTGGAGCTGCCCCAGAGGTTGGCAGCCTAGGCTGCTCACCTGGTCACTTCTTCCTTAGCTTGAGTAGCGTAAGAGAAAGGATCTCCTGGGGCTACACAGGGGAGGCTAGACGTAAGAGACAACTATACAGATGGCTTATCCTAGTGAGTCTAATAATTCAAACTCATCTTTAAAACGTTCCTAATGGCATTATCATAGTTGACATAAGCAAAGCACGAGAAGAGTTATCTTTTTGCACAGAAGCAAGTTTTATCAACAGGTGTCGTTTGATGTACTTACCCCTTAAATGCCAGTGTATTTGTGGTTATAGGCTGCCTGGAGGTGGAGATATTTCATCAGAGTTAGGGGTGGAGCGATGGTGGGAAGAAATTGATAGGTTTCCAAAAACCTTTCTGTGCCTCCTGGAATCAGATGATAATTGTTTTGCAAAATGTACAAAGTGAGAAGAACGGAACTTAACTTTTTCTTAGTATTAAACTGAAAGGAAAGAATTACCGTGTGAATGAAGGAGTGAGGTGGTTCAAAGCACAATAAAGAGAAAGAGAAATGGACTTATTTGCGAAAGTAGGTCTACTATGTTAGACTTTTGAAAAGATGCAGCTCTTGACATGAATTTTTACCATGTTCTAGACAAACGGACACATGCAGATCTCCACCGTTCTTCTTTCGAGTGGGCAGATATATGAGACCTTGCCCTGAGTGAACAATGATTCATGTTCCAGTAACTTACTAATCCTAAAGTAGGGAGGTGATATGGGGGTGCGAAGGTCAAAACAAGCCCTGGTTCTCATGCTTTTGAGGTGATCAAGAAATACATAATTAAAGAATAAAACATCTCATTAGCTTTTAAGCCTCTGACTTGTCAAGAACAAAAGGATAGTAAAATCATTTAAAATGTTTCTTAGATGAGGTTTGGGTTTTTTTTTTTATGATTATAAACGTCTCATTTTGTGGTTTCTATAGAAACTGTGGACAAACTTTTAAAATGGAAATCCAGCTATATATAAGATTCTACTGAAATCGAATAAGCACACATATGTGACTGTGTATAAGAATTACACATGAATTTTTTCAGCACGATTAGTGCATGTGGGGAGGGGGCATGTAGAAGCCTGTAACGATCCATCCAGAGTCTCCTGATAGCCTCCATGACCATTATCTTATATATAGATTTCCCTGTAATTTCATAGCTCAGTCAGAGAGGAAACCAAATATTATGGGGTATTTATTCTAACGAGACTAACAAAGCCTAGTATCACAGTTTTCAGTTCTGATCGTGTAGGTCATTTGTTGGGGGAGGGGGGGTAGGTAGGAAGGATTGAATCCTACACTGACCAAAAGATCCATATGGAATAGAATGACCTGCTTTTTAATATTAAACACAGGCACCATAGAAAAGAATGAGAATATATCCATTATTGCAAAAACTAAAAATAGTGTTTGTAGAACCCTGTAGGTGCGTAAAACACTTCATAAATGCAGTATATCTAGAATTATCATTTTATCTCTATTTTTACGTATTTAAAATCAAAAGTATTAATTGCTTCCATTCTTTGAACACTTCATAAGTGCTTATAACAGCTCAGCACACGTTGCATGTGAGGAAAGAATGAGAGGCCTAAGCATGTTAGGTGACTTGTCCACGGTCACACAGGCCATACTGGCCAGAGCTCATGCCCGTATCTGCCTGGCCCTTAGCCATTCTGCTGTCTGCCTCCTCCAGCCAAGCTCATACTCTGACATCTGCCCAAGAGTCCTTAGAAACTTAGGAATAAGTTCTAGCTTTTCTGATTCCCAGCTTGGGTTAAATTTCATCTTAGCGGTCATATTTTGAATTTTAAAGATTCAACAGATGTAGGACAATCATAACAAAGGCTCCCAGGAAAGGGAGATTGTGACCGAGAAGTTCACGTAAGAAGAGCCAAATTATCTATATAATGAATTAAGTCAACACTGTATCTCATTTTGACAAGGCTAGCATTGCCTTTGGTCAAGGGGAGGGAAAAAGATAAGAATTTATCACTGCTTCACAATAAAGCTATTTAGAAATCACTTAGTCTTTATCATTAGAACAACATAGATTGCTAAGGAAAGAAGGAGGATGCGAAGATATATTTTGAACAATGTTTCTTCAAAAGTATCTGCATGTTTCTATAATAATGGCACCTTAAATGGGGGCCATCAGAATATATTTCGCAATCATATTAGCGTGGGAACAAATCGCAAGAGATGCTTGGAAGATTTGGAACCCTTTGGAGTGAAGAAAGCTAGAACCGAAGGTGAGACAACTTTGTGGGCGGGAAAGAGCAGACTTGTTTACTTTCTTTAACATGTTTTCTTTTTTATGGCTGAAAGCACCTTCGAGATGAGACCTTCACTAAGGTGGTACTGTGCCTGGAGGACTCTGGTGCAGGGATGGATGGTGGAGTTTTTCCTGTATTGCCACTTGGAAGATTGGCCCTTTAACAAAAGGGAGGATGTAAGGGCAGGGTTGACAGCTCAAACATAAATGTGTGTCTATAACTTTTCTGCACATCCAGGTCTGCCTGCCATGAATTAGAAAGGTTTTTCTCATTTGTTGTACCTGTTTCAAATATAACTATTTAAAAAAAAAAAAGTATCTGCAAATATCCATTTGATCTCACCAAGTTCAAAGGGTTGTTATTGCTGCTTAAAACTAAACTTGGTACAATTTTGTAGAAGCCAAGTTCACCAAATTCCGTAGAATAAAACAGTAAACTTTTTTTAAAGTACCTAGTGACACTAAAAATGTTAAGGACAACTTTGCTATAAGGCCTTTGAAAGATCAAAGAAAGTTGAAATCGTTATCATGCCTGAAGAAATGAGCTCTGCCCTGCCAGTCAATCCACTTTTTCACACTCAGATGTTATCTTCAGATTGCCTTGTGTGACTCCCTGAGTTTGGTTGGGTCCAATATGCTAATTCAGTGACCCCAGATCTTTATCTGTGAATGAAAAGTTTCCCGTATGGATTGTGACAATGACAGGAATAAGATGTATAATAGGAATGTTAAAATGTTTCCCTAGTCCTGCTTTGTAACTTAGGAAACCTACTGTTAGGTTTTCACAGTACTAAAAGGTCTCAAATTATAATATCACAAAATGGGGAAAAATAAAATAAAAAAGGGAAGTCCAAGAAAAATAGCTTAATGGGCCGGCCGAGTGGCGCGATGGTTAAGAACTCGCTTGGGATGCCAGAAGGCCCCGGTTCGGATCCCACATATGAGGGCCAGTGACACTGCCCTCTACAGCTAAGATGCTGAACAACAGCTCAACCTGGAG